AGGGAGTCAGCCTTTCATCTGATCAGCAAACAGCAAACAAAATGCATTGAGCATCCCCTAGGATCACAGAAGTTCTCAAATCTACATTTATATTCAGTCTGTCCTTGCAATTCACTAATATCCAGAAGAGAAGTGGAATGGTATCAGAATATCCCAGAAAGTTCCAGAATATTAAAAAATTATATTTCTTTATTGTTGGCTGCCTATCTCCTGCATTAAAGGGCACTGTCTTGCTTTCAGTCATCACCACATTGAGAGAGAGAGAGAAGGAGAGGCAGGAAAAAGAAGAGTTGGAAGGACAAGGAGACAGGGAGGAAGGGAAGGTAATTGGGATGTCACTGATACACATACATAACGGGCTTGATCATTCTGCCTGACGACCAACACCCAGGAGAGGAAGCGAATGCAAGCTGCTCCAACCAGCCTATGAAGCAGAGCAAAGTACACCCAGAACAAGACTGCTCTCTTGCTCTTGGAGAGCCCATTGAAGTGCACTGTCCTGCTGTGCAGGTGCTGCACACAGACAAACGGACAAAGTGCAATGACAGAAAACAGGCTGCCTGAGCTGCAAGTTCCTCACAGTAAAAGCACAAAGGACTAGAGCAGTGTGACGGGACGTATCAACTCTGCACTGATGAGCTGAGGGTTAAGCAGCTGGTCTGGACGCAGGAAGTCAGCCCCCTGGCCTCTGCTGGGCAGGCTCCCATGGACAGGAGCATTCAAAAGAGAGCAGCTCAGCCCAGTCTGGGCTGACCAAGGAGGAGAGCAGTCGGGTGCAGCAGCATTCTGCCAAGAAGCTGCCAGGACTGGGCCTCCTAGCCAAACCACTGGAAGCACATTGACCGCAGGAACTGAGGATGACGACTTGCTGCCAACAGGGGAAGGGGCCCCAGAGATGAACCTGGGAGAGAGCCAGAAGGGATCCCAAGACAGAGCTGTGACACTGACAGAGGTTCCAGAAACAGTGGTAGGAAATGACCCAGGGAGTGCATAGTGATACCAGACCCCTAGGCCATATATATGGCCTATGGTTTTGAAAGACACTGGGTCAGACCCCAGTGGAGTAGGATGGGACCAGGTTCCCCTACCCCACCTTGGGGACTAGAGCTACTAGGCAGAGCAGCTCTTGACTCTCGCTGTGGGACAATACTGCCAGTCTGGGGCACACAGGCACCCCCCAACAGCCAGTACAACATAAAGCAGGGCAAGGCTCTTTCCCCCATATAATCTTTTATACACAGGTTCCAAGATTTGAAACAACATTAATTTATCTAGGCTTCTCCTGTCTCCACGGTAGCACATTGCTTCACCATGGTATCTGAGAAGCAGTGCAACCAGGTGGATAGACCACTGGACTTGGACTCAGGAGACTGGGTTTTATTATAGACTCTGCCACAGTCCTGCTTTGTGACCTTGGAGAAGTCTCTTCCCCTCTCTGTGCCTCAGTTTCCTCATTTGTAAAATGGGACTAATGATACTGACCTTCTTGGCAAAGTGCTTTGAGATCTACTGATGAAAAGTGCTATATAAGAGCTCGGTATTCCTAATTATATTATTATTATTTATAATGATACTGAGATTTGGTGGCCAGCTAGGTGTCTTTGGGGTGTGAGGATGAGGCACAGTTAAATAGCCTATCCACATAGCAATATCCGTGCTGGCATCACATAACAAGACCCATAGCTAGTATCTGGGAGAGATGGGCCTAAACTGAAAAGTCAGGATCCAGACCTGGATTTAGAGCAAACCGAAGTTCAGAGGTGTTCAGATCTGGGGTTCAGGCTTGTGTCAAGTGCAAGATAGTGCCATGGAACTGGACACGGAGGTGCCAGTGGTTAATGCTGATTTCCCTTGCCCAAGGGCCCACTGTCAACCTCATGTCTGTAGGTGGGCTTTGGCAGTGCATTAAAATACATCAGTGTGCTTATCTTCCATATTGGTTGAGTGTTTTTCCTCCAGCACTACCACTTGCTGCACTGTACTCCTCTGTTTCGATGTCATCTAAGTACTCATCTGAACCAGGAGGCCAACATGCATGTTCCAGTGTGTGCATGTACAGCCTCTACACAAGTTATCTATTCATGTGTTTTAATATGACCTTCACCACAGTAGCAATATATCAATATACAACATTAAGGAAGGTAATATTTCTCCAGAGGGACCATGCCCTCATCACCTGCCACTTCTCTGATTTCAGGTTTTAACTTCTGATTTCTAGGGAATTAATTTACGGCAAACTATGGCTCATGCTTTAAGAGAAAAAGGTTGGTTTTGGCTGATGTTTAAAATATTGTTTTCCTTGATTATACCAGTATAACCCACCATGTGGACATTCTTATTAAGGTACAAGAGTGGCTATGCTGGAGTTTACTAAACCAGGGGAAGGGATAGGACAGTACTGGGCAAGAGAGGCCCCACCCCTCAGCAGCTGTAGGGCATGCTCCTGGTGGACGGATGGTTTAAAAGGACAGGGGTGGGTCAGAGAAAGGAGATAGAGGCTGTATCAGGAAGTGAGGCTGAAGCCTGGAGCTATGAGAAGGGTGGCTCCAGCACTGTTAAGGCCACTCTGGAAGCAGTGATCCAGATCCCCCTTCTCTTTGGGAGTTGAAAACTCACAAGAGACTGTGAAGAACTAGGCAATGTTCCACTGGCAGACTAAGCAGAAGCGACCTATGGGAAGTATATCTGGATGTGGATCAAACAGCGGTCTGGACACTGTAATGCCCCTCTTGAGTCAGGACCTGGTGGAGTGGATGGGCCTGAGTCTCTTTACCTGGCTCCTCTGCACTTCTTAGATGACAAAACCCTAAGGGCAGTGGAAGGGACATTCCGGAGAGAGATTGAGACCTGCCACATGCAACCCAATTGGAGCTAATGTGGCCACTCACACATAGGCGCCAGTTCCGTGGGTCCTGCGGGGCTGGAGCACCCAAGGGGAAAAATTAGTGGGTGCTTTGCACCCACCAGCAGCAATGCTCCCCAGCATGCTGCATCCCCGCTCCTCCCCCTCCCTCCCAGCACTTCCCGCTCCCTCCCGCCCAGCCGCCTAATAGCTGTTTGGCGGCGCTTAGGACTTTCCGGGAGGGACGGGGAGGAGTGGGGACGCAGCGCACAGGGGAGGAGGCAGAGAAGAGGCAGGGCAGGGGCAGGGACTTGGGGGAAAGGGGTGGAATTGGGGTGAGAAGAGAGCGCCCTATGCTGCTGTGGGCAGAGTGGCACGCTCTTCAAAATAGAGTCTCCTGTCTGATACCAGACAAAAACATGGCCAATATTGTCCCAGTACTGAACAGGGGACAAACCAGCCAAAAGGAGGACTGTCCAGTATAAAACCGGACGAGTGGCCTTCCTAGCTGGGACCTGTTGTAGAACGATCAGGCCAGAAAGAACTGAGCCACTGCCTGACCACTAGGCTGGCTGGCTATAAGACTGACAAACAGGGGCCTTTTCCCAGTTTAGTTTTTGCTTTGGAAGCAGTTTCAGTTAAATCAGAAAAGGCCATTCTTATTCCAGAATAAGTGTTACCACATGAGGAAGTGTACCAAGTGTAACTATAGAAGCTGAACTATACTGATATAATTATATTGGTATAATTGGAAAAATCTCCCATATAGACAAGCTCTTATAACAAAAACTGGTGCCCTCTCACTTCCTCTTCAGGGATGAGCCTCCAGACAATCTGCGAGAACGTTAGGAGCTGCCTGCCCGCATTACAGATCTCAATGCAGCAAAAAACAGTGCATTCGGGATCTATTTAGTGTATATTTTTAAAAGACACCAATCTCAGATTTTTTTATTTGCTGGCATTTTATCTGTTTAAATCTTAAATAGGGGGCCAGATTCTCCACTGCCCTGCCCTTTAGACAGCCACTTGCACATGTGTCAAGTGAGAGCTATGTGGATGTGAAACATTCCTGTTCGGGTTTGGCAGGTTTGACACCCACTTTCCCAGATGCAAATGACTGCCCAAGGTGCGGGGCAGTGGAGAATCAGACCCAGGAAATATAATATCTATAGAGAGAAATATATGCTACACTCGCAATATACTGCATAAACATACGCAGAGGAGACAGAGCATGAGAACTTTCCACTGAGGAAGAAGCAAATTGTGAAATGTGGCTCACCCAGAACCAGCAGCTCCACTGACTCCTCATTCTTGCCCTCCAAATCGTCAGGGGTGATGATGAGACAGTAATAGAGCCCACTGTCTCCCCACATCAGCTTCCCAATACGGAGGTCTGCATCTGAAAAACAAAAAATGTAGAGGATGGGGCCATCCCCCAGCCTCCTCTAGAAATGAAGGATTGACAACACTGGCTCCAACTCCAAGTGCAACCCCCTGGGAGCTGTCACTGACGGGAGCAGATGTTTGTTCCCCGGTAGTTTGTGGGGATTACATCCCTAGCTAGTGCTGTGTGACAGGTCAAGCCTCTAGCTGTAGATTAAGAGACCAATCCAACTCCCCATTAATTCCAGAGGGAGGTGGAATTGGATCCTAAGAGAGTAACACAAGCCCATTACTCTGAAAATAGATGTAGCTCAGTAAGCTGTGGTGTTGAATGGGGAGTTGGAGTAACACCACAAGCAAGGCCCACAAAGAGAGTGCAAGGCAGAGGATGGAGCCCTTGGACAAACCACGAATTCCCCTTCCTTTTGCCCTCCCTACTGGCAATGGCCCAGTGACTTGACAGTACTCCTGCTGGGCAAATGGGGTTTAGATGCTACTTCCTCTGGAACACATCAACCATCTACCAAAGGCATCACTAGAAAACAAAGTAAAATATTCTCTCCCCTCCAAGAGGTGAGTGTGTTTCCTCCACACCAGAGAGCAAGGGGCTAGTAACCCCTACCAGCTAACTGGTTTGTTGAATTAGAACAGATGACATGTATTGAGGAGTCCTAGTCTCACATGACCTCTTCCCACAAAAGACTGAGGGAAGTCTCAGCCCCCACCAGCTGAGTTCACACAGCTTAAATCTCTTCTTTTCTCCTTCCTGAAACAGGAGTGAGTTTAGGTCCCTACTGGAGTAGGGTGACGAAGCCCAGCGTTGGATGAACATGAGATGCAGAATTACTCCTTCATGTTGGCAGGGCAGGAGGAGAGGAGGTCTGTTCAAAAGGATAGAAGAGTTTTGTGAGGGGGAAAGCCCAGCCGTGGAGACTGCACTTCCTATTCTCTACCACAGGAGAAGCCGGCACCTCCAAGTCAGCATTTGGGCCCATCAGTGGGAGCAGTGTGGCGAAGCCCAGAACTAAATGAACATGGAAACAGAACAGCCCTGTTGACCCAGGAGAAAGTAACCCCTCCAGGTCAGGATTGGAGCCCCTTTGTGGAGCAGATTGACAGTCCAGGAGGAATGAGTTTAAACTCCCCGCTCTCGTTCAGATTTAGCTGGTAGAGTCCATTGTATAAGAATGAACTTGTACCACTGGGTCCTGGAACATGACTAGGGTCCCTAGGCACTAGGATTACACAAAAAATAATTATTAATACCCCTGCCCCAGGTGGAGTTAACTAAACAATTTCCAACAGCCTTCACTATTCATAACTGCCAAGGAAGGATTCTTAACAATACTAAAGCAGCTAGGGGGGCATTACCATGGACAATGGTGACATCTCTTTCCTTATAGAAGTCCCCTATTGTGACCGCGGATCCCTGCTTGGAGGCTACGACACGGACCGTCCTTCTGCTGTCCACGCAATCCAGGTAGGGATCCCACTCCAGGTTCCTTTTGCTCACTGCTTGTAACCCCGAGGTGGCCAGACCCAAAGCTTCTCCTGTGCGGTCCTGGCAGTAGGATTTAAACCTCCATTGCACAACAGCTGGCTGGGTGGAGGAAGTAGAAAAGTGGCAGCGAAGCAGGGCAGGCTGAAACAGCATAGCAACCTTCTTATTTTCAGGCACCGTGACCTGCAGTCCCTCAGCCAGTGCTACAAAACAAAAACATTGGTGTCATCCCACAGCGTGGTACGCACAACATGCTCTGATGGGATTAGATCAGTGGTTCCCAAACTTTAACAACCTGTGAACTCCTTTCACTAAATTGTCAAGTTTCACGAACCCCCTCCTAAAAATGAATATTTCCAGGAATTTTCTCTTTTACCTGAGTATAAATTATAAAAGCAGTGCTCTTGGAAATATCAAATTTGTTTTGTGATATGCTTATTACACACTATTATTAATTATTATTTATCATTACAGTATTTTTATTACATTATGAAAACGGCAACACTCTTCCAGGATCTCAATTTCATAACTTGTATCACTTTGAAGAAGCCTGTTATAAGACAAGGCTCCTATGTTTCATCAAGGAGCATCAGATGTGAAACAGCATGAAGGGATTTAAGAAGCCAACTCAAAGATTCCTCCTACACAAGCATTCAGGTCTTGAGCAGTCCAGGCAAACAACGCACGTTACAACAAAGCTTAAACTTGTTCTTCATAATAATTTTAAAACAATACTAGCTGCCTATTTAATTTTAAAAACAACAAAAAATATCCACCTCCCTTTCCATTTCTTATAAGGAGTCTTGAAGTTAAAATCTCCTCAGTGTGATAGATATGCTTGCTTTGATCTGCTTAGCTCTTGGAAGTCCAGGGGCTCCTGGCTGCTGGCCCCATGCTGCCCAGGGTCTCTAGAGACAGCTCTGTCCGCCATTAGGGAATTTTTCCCCAAGAACCCCCTGTAACATTTCACAAACCCCCAAGGGTTCACGAACCCCAGTTTGGGAACCACTGGATTAGATGCTTCACGATGGTGTCATTCTCACATGTACATCTTTGGGGCAGGAACCACATTTTTGTTCTATGTTTGTACAGTGTCTAGTACAGTGGGGTCCTCGCCCAGGACTGGGGTCCCTAGGCACTACAGCTTATACAAATAATAACAACAGCCGCACTGGGACAACTGCCTTTATTGTTGTAGGTGAACTTACAAGCAGTTTCTGTCCACCCATTGAGGATGATCCAAGTATGAGTGAACATTAGGATTGTGAGTTTAGTTTTGATATTAAAAAAGAAAGTGGATGAGAGGGGAGGGCATATTAGGCACTTGTAAAGGACTAGGCACTTTATGGATAAGGATACTTCATGCACTAAAGACATTCAGTAAGTGGGCCAGATTCTGATCTCACTCATATCAGTGCAAATCCAGAGTAACTCCATTGATTTCAATGGAATTACCCAAATTTAACTCCAGCATAACTCACAGTAGAATCTGGCTCCTTGTAATGTGCATTAACACAGTCCCGCACCCATAATGAGACACAATAGGCGTGAATCCAGATCACATAACTCTTGCTGCAACTGGAGTGCAGTCTGGCACTAAGCAAATTCTCCTCATGTGGGAGGAGCAAAGGATAGTGGCCAGAATTCTTCAGCTTTTACATTTCATGGAAATTGGTGTCGTTCAATATCTAACATTTGATTTATCTGCCAACTGACAGGAGAGCTGCGTCGCCGCCTGACATATTGGACCTCACAGCAGACACATGGGAGTGAATTACATGTGTGACTGCTGATGCATCCTTCTTTTTCGGTAGTTTAAGGTGAGTTTGAGTCAATTGAGTCCAGGTGTCAACTGACAGCCCCAGAGAGTGAAATGCTCTGTTTATTCATCGCATGGGGAGCAGCAAACTAACGGCTTGGCTACGCTTGCAGCTGTAGAGCGCTTTGGGTTAAATCAGCCTTTGGAGAGCATACCAGGGAAAGCACTCCAGTCTGTCCACACTAACAGCTGCAAGCACACTGGTGTGGCCACATTCCCAGCACTTGCAGCGGCATTGGGAGAGGTGCATTATGGGCAGCTATCCCACAGAGCACCTCTTTCCATTCTGGCGCTGTGGCTTGTGGGAAGGGGGCGTGGGGTGCGGGGCATTCTGGATCCTGTTCCAATGCCCCATGATGCATCACTTCCCATCCCAGCAATCCCTGTGTTTCCATGCACATTTGGTGCCATCTTTCAACGGTTTCTGTGTGGCACACTCTGTGTTCCCTTTCGGTCTGTGGGAATGGAGCCCGAACTGCTGAAGAGGATGCTGACGAATTTCGCCAGCACGTCACGTTTAGCATTCGAGCTACTCCTTAAGATCCAAAGTGACGGTGAGGAGTCCAATGATGATATCGACTTGAGCAATGCATACAACACAAAATTGCTTGTCTCATTCATGGACATGCTTTCCACTGTGGAACGCTGCTTTTGGGCTCGGGAAACAAGCACTGAGTGGTGGGATCACATCGTTCTGCAAGTCTGAGATGATAAGCAGTGGCTGCAGAACTTTTGGATGACAAAAGCCACTTTCATGGGACTGTGTGCTGAACTCACTCCCACCCTGCAGCTCAAGGACACGAGATTGAGAGCTGCCCTGCCGGTGGAGAAGCAGGTGGCTATTGCAATCTGGAAGCTGGCAACTCCAAACAGCTACAAATCGGTCGCTAACCAGTTTGGAGTGGGAAAGTCAACCGTTGGAATTGTGTTGATGCAAGTTTTCAGGGCCATTAATCGCATCCTTCTCAGAAGAACCGTGACTCCGGGTAACATGCATGACATTATGGCTGGCTTTGAACAAATGGGTTTCCCTAACTGCGGCGGGGCGATAGATGGGATGCATATTCCTATTCTGGCACCAGACCACCTAGCCTCCGAGTATGTTAACCGAAAGAGGTATTTCTCCTTGGTTCTCCAGGTGCTTGTGGATCACCGTGGGCATTTCATTGACATTAACGCAGGCTGGCCCGGAAAGGTGCATGGCGCACTCATCTTTCGGAACACTGGCCTGTTCAGGAAGCTGCAAGCTGGGACTTTTTTCCCAGACCAGAGAATGGCCGTAGGGGAAGTCGAAATGCCCATTGTGATCCTTGGAGACCCCGCTTACCCTTTAATGCCATGGCTCATGAAATCCTGGACAGCAGCCAGGAACAGTTCAACTACAGGCTGAGCTGGTGCTGAATGACTGTGGAATGTGCTTTTGGCCGTTTGAAGGGCCGCTGGCGCTCTCTTTATGGGAAGCTGGACTTGGCCAAAGCCAGCATCCCCACAGTTATATCCATGTGCTGTACCCTCCATAATATTTGTGAAGGGAAGAGTGAAACCTTCACTCATGCATGGGCCTTGGAGGTTCAACACCTGGAGGCTGAATCTTCACAACCAGAGAGCAGGGCTATTAGAGGGGCCCAGCATGGGGCTGCAAGGATTAGGGATGCCTTGAGGAAGCAATCTGAGGCTGAAAGCCACCAGTAATGTCTGTTGCTCTGCACGGGAGTTAACTGCAGTGGCTGTGTTTGGTACACTGAATTGTAGTGCTTGTTGCTTTCCTGGTCTAAGGTATATTTTGCTTTAGGCACGAATAAAGTATGTTTTCAAAGTGAAAAACTCCATTTATTGAAAAGAAAATTCATTTATGGAAATAAAAACAAAGTAACACAGCAATACCACAATGGCAAGGGGGTGAGGTGGGGAGTGGTTCACTCTCAGACTTGAGTATGTCCTGATTTCATATTCTGCAATCCTGTCTGGAGTGCTGTGCACTGAGTGCTGCATTTCAGGATGACTATAAGGCATGTTGAGGGGGACTGAGTGCAGTGGATAAGGGTCATAGTTTTCATGGGTGGATGGTGAAGCTAGGGGTGTAGGAGGCAGCTGGGGGCGGTAAGAACCCGGATGTTGGAGAAAGTAGGTTCGAGGACACATGGGGGCACAAGGGAAAGAGTTTTGGGACAAGGGCTGCAGGGGGTGGGGGCGAGCGCAGTAGTGCTCCGCCTGCATGGCGACGAGCGCCTGGATAGAGTCCGCTTAGTGCTCCGTTATGCTAATCGGCCGATCCGTACTTTGCTGCCCGAGCACCGTGTTTGCTGCCGGCGATCCTCATTCTTCTGGTGGATCCTCCTTTCACTCTCCCTCCGCTTCTTTGCCTTTCGATTCTCTTCCACAGACTACCGCATCACTTCCTGCAGCATGTTGTCTTTGCTTTTACAGGGCCTATTCCTGAGTGCTCTCAGTCTGTCGGCCAGTGATAACGCTGGCGGCTGAGATCTCAAGGTTGCACCTACACAGGCAAAATGCAACACTTAACAGCGGAAGCATTATACACACCAGACAGAGCAATGATTCCCCCGCACTTAAGGAGGGCAATCACAG